TTTAATTTTATAAAGCATAGGCTAATCAAAGGTCATGAAGATTTATGACTATGTTTTCTTCTAAGAGTTTTATGGATTTAGTTCATCCTTAACTTTTTAATAGAATGCTTCCTCCGCGTGTTATTCTGACTCTTCTCCAGGAATATAGCTTTTTATTCAGTCCACATGCTTCAAGACTAGATGCAGTTATAGGATCAGCTTTATTGTTGCTCTGTACTGCTTCTGTTAAACTATTATATCTCCAACTGCATAAGAAAGCATTTTCATTTTGGCTCCATCATTGTACTATTTATACTTACTGTTTTTATTTTCTATTTTCTACCCTCAATTGGTATCTTGGTCATTAACCCACTTTCACTAGGAAATTCGACCAACTCTTCCTTATTCTACCCTGTGTCTCTATTATCCTGGGCAATCTGAGTGTCTATATGTAATTTCTCACTAACATTCTAACATTTTACCTTACTCCCTTCCTTCTCAACTGCAGTGGTCATCACCTTCTTTCTTTTTCAGCAAACTGTTCTCATGACAAGATCTTGGACCTTACTTCTCTCAAAAAATTCTAAATGACTGTATCTGTACTCTGATTATAACCTCCAGTCCTCTTTGCTTTTTTTTTGTTTGTTTCTCCCTTTTCTCTCCTTCCATTCTTTTCTTGTGTTTATTCTTTCCTTTCCCTGGCCCTCAGCACTTCTTTTCTTCTTTCTGGCTCTACTTCTTTCCCTATCTCACCTATTCTTTAATCTTCATCTTATCCAAAATGCTGTTTCCTTCTGGTCTATCCTTGCTTTGGAAAGAGATCCCTCAGTGCTGTTTCTCCACCTTTTTAATCCATTCTAGTATACATTAGATGCTCAATTAATGATAAATGTGTGAATGAATGATGCAATGAAGAAACATTTGATCAATTCATTTATCTAACTGTTTGGCTTCTACATTAGAACTCCTGGGCCCTGAGAAAAACCAGAGCTGTACATGGCGTCATTATTATAAATTCATGGTCTTTCAATACTGTCCAGCAATTTTTTCACGTATCTAGTTGTCTCTCTCTCTCTCATTCTTTGTAACAGATATTTTTATTTTCGTTATTGTGCTTTAGGTGAAAGTTTACAGCTCAAGTTAATTTTTCATTCAAAAATTTATACAAATATTGTTTTGTGACATTGGTTGCAGTCCCCACAATGTGACAGCACCCTTCCCCTTTACACCCTGGCTTCCCTGTGTCCATTCATCCCATTCCTGTCGTTTCGTGCCTTCTCATCCTGCTTTTGGACAGGAGCTGCCCATTTGGTCTCGTATATCTGATGAACTAAGAAGCACATTCCTTACAAGTATTATTTTTTGTTTTGTAGTCCTGTCTAATCTTTGTCTAAAGAGTAAGCTTTGGGAATGGTTTTAGTTCTGGGTTAACAGAGCATCTAGGGGCCATAGTTTCGGGGTTTCCTCCAGTCTCTGTCAGACCATTAAGTCTGGTCTTTTTATGTGAGTTTGAATTCTGTAACAGGTGTTTTAAACCTTACACTCTCTTCTTATTTCAGAGTCTGCCTGTTCACTCATAGCAGATGAACTTGCTTCCTACTTCACTGAGAAAAGTGAGGCCACCAGATGGGAACTTGCTTAGCACCCTTCCCGACTTCTACAAGAGTACTAGCATCTCTCCCCATGCTTTTCTTCTAACCCTTTGCTTTAGAAGAAGACCTGGCTCTCCTCCCTTTGTGAGCTTGCTTCTCTACCTGTTTTACAGATCGTACCCTTTCTACCTCCTGAAGGACCTTGCTCTGTTAATCATTTCTTTCTTCTGTCTTCAATTTCTCTCCCTCTTCTGTCTTTCTCTCTTCAGCATGTAAACTATAATAATAAATAAATAGGTAAATAGATAGATAGATAGTGTCGAGTCAACTCCAACTCATGGCGACCTTCTATACAACAGAATGAAACGTTGCCTGGTCCTGTGCCATTTTCACTATCACAGCCATGTTTGAGTCCATTGTTGCAGCTGTTGTGCCAGTCCATCTCAATGAGGTTTTACCTAGCCCTCACTGTCCCTTTACTTCAGTATACCTGAAGTTCTGCAGCAATTGATCCTTTCTGCTTCCAAAGCAAGTTTGACAGTGTTATGTTGTGCTCTATTAAGTTTTCATTGACTAATTTTTGGAAGTAGATCTCCTGGCCTTTCTTCCTAGTCTGTCTTAGTCTGGAAGCTCCTCTGAAACCTGTCCATCATGGGTGACTCTGCTGTTATTTGGAATACCAGTGGCATAGCTTTCAGCATCACAGTACAGCAAGACATCACAGTACAGCAAACTGTTAGATGCATGGCAGAATAGTTAAATTGTCTAGCCTGAAACAAAATGTGTTATCTATTCACATTCTTCTAGCTACCAGGAGTCCTTTTTTTCCTTCCCATTCCAGCCACTGTTTGATAGTGTAGTCTGTATTAGCTTTTACCATTTATTTATGATTCATTACCACTGAACTTACTGCTTTTCTTAAGTTCATTGACCTCCTTATTTATTTAGATTCAGGTAAAAATATATATAACAAAACATTTACCAATTCAACTATAGATATGTGTGTGTGTGTATATATATGTATATGTCAGTGATATTGATATTGCCACTGTCTTTTTCTCAATTATTCCACCACCATTAACAGAAACTCAGTGCCCACTAAGCAGTAACTCCCCTTTCCTCCTCCTCCTGGTAACTACTAATAAGCTTTGGTTTCTATACATTTGCCTATTTTATATAAGTGAAATCATAGAGTATTTGTCCTTTTTGTGACACAGTATTTTTTGGGAAACCTCCAAACTGTTTTCCACAGTGGCTGTACCATTTTGCATTCCCATCAGCAATGGATGAGTATTCTGTTCCTCCACATTCTTGCCAACACTTGTTATTTTCCATATTTTTTGATCATAACCATTCTAGTGGAAATGTGGTGCTATCTCATTACAGTTTTTCATAGGCATCTCCATAATGGCTAATGACATTGAATATCTTTTCATGTGCTTATATGCCATTTGTATATCCTCTTTGTTGAAATGTCTGTTCAAGTTTTTGTTCATTTTTCCTGAGTTGTTGGTCTTTTAGTTGTTAAATTGTAGGAGTTCATTAAATACTCTGGATATTAAACCGTTATCAGATAATATGGTTCCCAAAAATTTTCTCCCAGTCTGTAGGTTGTCTCTTTACTTTGTTGATAAAGTCTTTTGATGAAGACAAGTTTTTAATTTTCATTTATCTATGTTGTTTTTTGATGCCATATCTAGGAATGCATTGTAACAGCTAGCAATATGCCTGTGTTCTCTTCTTGACCCTGTTATTAAATCAAGCATACCTGTTTTAGACTTTGTTACTTATTAACTCTGTAGCGTTTGACACTTTTCACTTTTCACCACTCCTCACTTCTTCAACTGTCTGCTCTCTTAGCTTCTATGATCATGTTCTGTAAGGAAGTTCCATGTACTCTCTTAATAAAACGAGAACCTAGTGATTCCAGGTGTTGGTGCTGGGCGCGTCTCCAGGTTGGTTTGTTGAGGATTAAAGATTAAACACTTCTTCTCTGAGATTTTCTTTGCCTTTGGCAATTTCTCAGTCATTAATGCTGCTACTACCCATCATGCTGGGCTCAGTGGTCAGGGGCAGGACAGGGTACTCTTCCGCCTTTTAATGTTTGGTTCAAGTGTGTTCTCATAGGTCTTCCCTTATTTCCTATAAGATACTGAGGCCAAAGACTTGCTACTGCATTTTTAACAAAGTTTTAAAAAATATTCTTTTTGTGTCAGTTGAGTTCATTGAATCATTGTTATATAATAATGAAACATTAGAAATAACCTAAGGGTCCCTCAGTAGGGGAATGGATGAATACATTATTGTATATCCGTATAGTGAGACACTAGACAGTTATTAAAAAGAATGAAGTAGACCTGTATGTACTCACAGTGTATAGAAAAAAAAGTCAAGTGGCAAGTCTTTTATATTATACATACATGTGTGTGTAAAAAAGAAGAAAAACTAAAGTACAGAACTCTATATAAGTATTTAGCACCTGAAAATGTCTTGGAATGTACACATCAGAAGTGATTTCGTCTGAGGGGTGGGAATGGAGAATAGAGGATGTTATGGGCTACTTGAACTATTTTCTTTCTGTATTTTTTTTTATTTTGTTTGAAAGTAAGCAATAATGAGAATTTTTAAAGGAGAAATAATATCCTGTTGACCTATTCTTACTTGATTTCTTCTCTTCCATTCATTTCTTGGATAATACTTTGCTTTTTGAGTTTTCCTTTAAACTCTAACCACTTTTACTCAGTCTTCTTAGTGAGCTCCTCATATTTTAATCCTGTTTATCCCTCAAGGGTCACCTTTGGATCCTTGGGAAGTATTTCTAGACCTTTAAGTCTGATTTTATTACCTTTCCTCTGTGTTCCTATGGCCTCCTGGGAAATCTTCCACAATCACTGGTCTCTAGGGCAGGGGCTGTATTATTTGACTTTGTATTCTGTGGAACTGAACACAATACCTAGCACATGGTAGAAATTCATTAAAAAGGTTCTGAATATTAAAATAATAAAACATAGAATTTGGGATAGATCTCCTTAATACCAGCGTGTCCTTTTGTGTTGGTTATTATTTTACACCATTTTTTTTCTTGAAGCTTTGTGTGAAGAGACATGTTTTAGTTAAACTTGAGTTTATATCTCAGGATATGTTGTTGTCATGTTGATTGGCTACCTAATACAACACCAAGCAGTTTATTTACATGCAATATAATTTCTTCAATTATCATTGAAGGATGGAAGGATGATCATTTCATACTTCATTGTAACACAAAGCATGAATATCGGATTTTTTTATAACATGTCCAAATACATTAATTATTGATAACCTGCATTCATGTGCTTAGAAAATGTGTAACATTGATTCAAGCATAAGAATAAACAAATTAATTTTTCTTGTCTGTATAAATTGTTTGTCTAACATTATTTTCCTTTTTAGGTTCAACAGATAGATCGTGTGGTTGAAGTTGTGGAGGAAACAATTAAAGGTAATTGTTGAAAGTGAGATAAGCAAACGTATATATTTTCTAATTTTATATCAGACATATCTGAGACATCTGTCTGTTCGTCTGTCCATCCGTCTGTCCGTCCGTCCATCCATCCACCTATACATGTATATTTATATAAACACATAGATATACATTTTCTATTGATGTCTTACATACACCCTTTTCTCCAACTGTGCTGTTGGATTTTTCTTGTATATTACTTAGACTTTTCTTCGCATTCACTTCAGGGTACTGCACAGAGCTGGATAGCTTTTGTCTGCCCCTCCATATCCACTCTCCACCTTTCTCCACCTTGATCTGTGTCCATGGAGGTTGACCTGTATGGATTGTATTAGTAGGATCCTTGCCTTCTGGCTTCCCGTTGGATTTAGCCAATGGGAGGTGCCAATTGGAGAGTGGAGAGTGACCAGAGAATGAGACAGGAGTATTTTCTCCCCTCTCTCCCTGCATCTCTGCCTGCTTGTCCTGGTTTGGCTGCTTCCTTCACCTAAAGGCCACAGCTCCTGTCAAGCAGCCCCCTCCCTTCATCCCTTTCTCCGGGTTCCTATAACTGCCCCCTCTCTTGGCCTCCCCAGGCCTAGGGATGGAAACAGCTCCACATTGTTGCTTGCTTTAGGTTATTGCATTGTCTCTTGGTTTTCCTAACCCTGCCCACACCTTAGTAAATAGTCCCTTTATTAAAATCTCTTCAATTATGCAGAGCACCATCTGTTTTGCTGGAACCCTGATTGATAGATGCTCTGTGGAGAAGCAAGGCTCTGCCCAGAAGGGCCAGATGGAATACAGCCTGACAAGACGATTTTGCCATAACTGTCTTGTTCCCACATTTGATCCTTGTTGGATTCTCTTCATATCTCTTCCTTGAAGAGGGTGTGGGCATAGAGTCTCTGCCATAGCCTGTTTGCACTTTTCTTACTATTATCTTATGCCAGATAGTATTTTAAAAACCATATTAATGAGATGCATTGATATTGACAACATTTAAATTTACTGTAATTAACATAAAACCATACAAAACTTGTTTCACTTATATCTGTCTTGGTTTTAACAAAATGGAAAATTTCAGCTTGTTCTGAATGAATCCTCACTATTTCAATAATGGCCTGAAACTTCCATCCATTTATATAGCATTTGTTTTGGAAAGGAATAGATTATAATGAATATAGGTGATTCTTCTGTGTTATTTTGATAATTCAACAAGATAAGGAACTGAAACTCGGAAAAGAAATAAAGTGTTGAAAAGATCCAGATTCATTTTGTGCTTTTAAAAAGCAATATGTGTATGTGTATTCACATGTACATAATTCTTGGATTTTTTTTTTTTTGCATGTGAAAGATCTGAAGGGACTTTGTAAATCTGTATTTCTTCTGTCATAGTGCACATGGAGTGCTCTAAACAAACAAACAAAAAATCTTTAAAAAATTCTCCTCTTTGGAAAACATATTCTAACTGGAGAACTTACAACAAGTGATTGCAAGTAAATATTGACTAATGAAGTCAGACAGATGTTTTTACCATTAGGTCATATTTCTTCCCCAGTCAACCTCTGTTGAAAGAGGCCTCTATTGTTATTAATATGCTTGCTGGTATTTCATTCAGTCTAATTCCTAATGACTTAAGTGGTGGTAATTCAAGAGTTTCCCAGTATGGCATAATCTGCAAGTTTAATTGATTTTCTGTTTCCCCTAACTTCCCAGTAATTGATTCAATCTTCGATTAGAGTGACTTAAATTCCCAGGGTACTTCACCAAATGGCTCCTTCTTATTTAACACATTGCTATTAATCTTCACTCTGTCAGGTTTTGTACTTTGCATTTGGTACTTATATAAAGCATAAACTTGTCGTAAGTTGAGACTGGAAGGCAAAATTATATCAAGCGCAGTTTTATCAGGGTTAATGACTGAGTAATAGTCCCACCAAGTCCAATGCATATTTATTTGAGGATGCTTTCCAGACTTGATTGAGCTTGGTTATGTAGCATGGTGCATCTGGAACAGTATGGAACTACAAATGCACATCTGCTGTTTCAGTATTTGCTTCTCAATAAAATAATTTAATTGACTGTCGATATATACTTGGAAGAGATGCTTTTCTGCATCTTCCCAGTGTGTGTAGTCTCTGGTCCAGTTACTATAGTCTGATTATAGTAGAAAAAGTTATACATTGGTTTCACATATTAAGAATATTTTCCCATCTCACTAGTATAGTTAAATACGTAATCACTTCTACCTTCTCGGAACTGAAAGAGCCAGGGATTTATTGCTATTATTCATTTATTTTTTTCCAGTGAGCCTGTCTAGTTTAAGTTTATATACCATGTTGATATGTGATTTCAGTTTGATAATCACTACATTTTGTCACCTTCTTAAATGCAGTTTATCTATCTCCTCTCCTTTCTTTCCTTTAGTTCCCCCAAAGTAACAATAGGATTCTAGCTTTACTTACATGTCTTGTATATTTCCACATACTTTATTTCTAGAATAGACTTCTTTTTTTTTATTGCATCTCTCTTAGCATTTTCCAAATCATAATATTTTAAAAAATAAGAGTAGGCTAATTGAAGTCTTTGGGTGCTACAACGGTTGATGGGCTCAGCTGTTAATCACAAGGTTGGACTTTTGAGTACCCAGAGGCACCTTGGAAGAAAGGCCTGGGTGATCTACTTTCAAAAAATCTGCCATTGAAAACCTTATCGAGCACAGTTCTACTCTGACACACATTGGCTGCCATGAATCAGGATCAACTCAATGGCAAATGATAATTTCTTTATGGTCCCAAACAGTAAAGCTCTACATTAAGACTTCTAGTGGATTTTACACATAACTTTATTCTATAACTTGGTTTGGAATAATGGCTGAAAAGGACTATTAGGGATATGACCATATCATGCCTTGTCTGCATTTCTATGACTTTACAACTTTATTAGCCCAATTATAAGTCCAGTTATTACATCATGAGCAGCAGCAGTATTATTTATCTAGTCTGCATTTCTATGACTTTACAACTTTATTAGCCCAATTATAAGTCCAGTTATTACATCATGAGCAGCAGCAGTATTATTTATCTAGTCTGCATTTCTGTGACTTTACAACTTTGCTAGCCCAACTGTAAGTCCAATTATTACATCATGAGCAGCAGCAGTATTATTTATCTACTAAAAAATATGCAATAGATGCTCTACAAAGAGTCTTCATTTTATTTATTTTTTATTGTGCTTTAATTGAAAGTTTACACATCAAGTTAGTTTCTCATACAAAAATTTATACAGGTATTATTACGTGAACCTAGTTGCTATCCCTATAATGTGACAGCACACTCCTCCTTTCCGCCCTGGATTTCCCGTGTCCTTTCAACCAGCTCCTATCCCTTTCTGCCTTCTAATCTCGCCTCCGGACAGGAGCTGCCCGTTTAGTCACGTGTATCTACTTGCACTAAGAAGCACACTTATAGTCCAGTCTATTCATTGTCTGAAGAGTTGGCTTGGGGAATGGTTTTAGTTCTGGGTTAAAAGCGAGTCAGGGGGCCATGTTTCTGGGTTACCTCCAGTCTCAGACCATTAAGTCTGGTCTTTTTACTAAAATTTGGGTTTTGTACCCCACTTTTCTCCTGCTCCATCAGGGACTCTCTGTTGTGTTCCCTGTCAGGGGGGTCATTGGTGGTAGCCAGGTACCATCTAGTTCTTCTGGTCTCAGGCTGATGAACTCTCTGGTTTATGTGGCCCTTTCTGTCTCTTGGGCTAATACTTTCCCCGTGACTTTGGTAATCTTCATTCGCCTTTGCTCCAGGTGGGTTGAGACCAACTGATGCATCTTAGATGGCCACTCGCTAGCTTTTAAGACCTCAGATGCTACTCACCAAAGTGAGATGCAGACCATTTTCTTTTTTTTATTGTACTTTAGATGAAGGTTTACAGAACAAACTAGCTTCACGTTAAATAGTACATGTATTGTTTTATGACACTGGTTAACAACCCCATGACATATCAGTACTCTCCCTTCTCGACCTTGGGTTCTCTATTACCGACTTTCCTGTTCCCTCCTGCCTTCTAGTCCTTGCCCCTGGGGTGGTGTCCCCCTTCAGTCTTACTATGTCCTGTGTGTCTGTCTAGTGTTTGGCTAAAAGGAGAACCTCTGGAGTGACTTCATTACTGAGCTAAAAGGGTGTCTGGGGGCCATACTCTAAGGGTTTCTCCAGTCTCTGTCAGGCCAGTAAGTCTGGTCTTTTTTGGAGTTAGAATTTAGTTCTACATTTTTCTCCAGCTCTGTCCTGGACCCTCTATTATGATCCCTGTCAGAGCTGTCAGTGGTGGTAGCCGGGCACCATGTAGTTGTACTGGACACAGTCTGGTGGAGGCCGTGGTAGTTGTGGGCTGTTAGTCTTTTGGACTAATCTTTCCCTTGTGTGGTTAGTTTTCTTCATTTTCCCTTGCTCTTGAAGGGGCGAGACCAGTGGAGTATTTTAGATGACTGCTCACAGGCTTTTAAGACCCCAGTTTCTACTCACCAAAGTAGAATGTAGAACATTTTCTTTATAAGCTGTGTTTTGCCAGTTGAGCTAGTTGTTCCTGAGATCATGTTCCCCAGACCTCAGCCCATTAATTCAGTCTGTAAGGGAGCTTGGATTTGTCTGTGAAGCTTCCATAACCTTACCCTGAACACGTTGTGCTTTTTCCCCAGTATTGTGTACTGTCTTACTCTTCACCAAAGTTACCACTTATCTATTGTCTGTTTAGTGTTTTTCCACCACCATCCCTCCCCTCCCTCGTAACCATCAAAGATTGTTTTTTTTGTGTGTGTAAACCTTTTCAGGAGTTTTTACAAAAATGGTCTCCTACACTATTTATCCTTTGTGATTGACTTATTTCATTCAGCATAAGGCCCTCCGGACTCATCCATGTTATCAGATGCTTCACAGATTCATCATTGTTCTTCATCATTACATAATAGTCCATTGTGTGTATGTACCATGGTTTGTTTA